GCCACCGGAGCTAGAGTGTGGAACAGGATTGGAGGGGAGAAAGGCCAGAAGGGCCATGTTCTGGAAATACTTTCCCTACCTCAGCAGAGAGGTTGGGGTAGGTGGAGAGGCTTGGGAGCTGGCTGTGCTCATGAAGTTGGATTTTATTCTGTAGCAGCAGGAGGCCATTGGGGATGTTAAAGGAGGGAAGTGACCTGATGTAAAACCACTTTTAAAGAGGTTGTTTCTGTGTGGTTGACATGGTTTATCTTCTGTCTTATTCTTGTGGGGATTGTGGTGACTGCAGGGTACACTCCTGTCTTGTTGAGCCCTTCTAAATTGTTTTTGACATTCAGAAGAAGGCCCTGGTATAAAATGGAGGCAAACTACTGGATTTAAAACAGCTTCACAGCTCACTAGCTGTGTGACCTTGGGCAACTTACTTGACTTTTCTATGTCTTAGCCTCTTTTCATAAAATAGAGACAATTGGACACAGGATGGTGATTTTTTAAAGCTAATGAGATAATACAAAGTACTTCAAACAGGACCTGGGAAGTAGAACTTAACTCAAAAGATGTTAGATTTTATTGTGTTTATGATGGAAAAGCAATTGGTATTTGTGCTTTGCTTTAAAAAATGTTTTTTTTTAAATATGCCACTGTGAGCTTTTAAAGAACCTTGACTTCTCAGCAGCTTTTGTTAACAACAACAACAAAAAATACTGTATAGAAATTCGAATGTGAAAAGAAGGGGTACAAGTCATCTATCAAGGTTTGAAATTCTAATTTTTAATTTCTTTCTCTTCCCATGAACTAGAGAACTCCTCTTGTACAATAGAACCCATCCTTGAATGTCTTTTACTTCTGCTTTGATTGGGTTTCAACCTTGTTCTTGTATTCTGATTCTTTCTGCCCTTTTCTTTTGTTCTTCTGGTGCTTGGTGGAGGTGAATGTCCCCTGTACACATTTCCTCCTCGGCAGAGGACTGCCTGTGCCAACTACTATGGAGGAGATGGAATGTAGTATTGGCCTGATAATATTGAAATTTCTAGACCTGACCTTTCAAATTCTTGAGTCCCTTGGGTAGACAACTGCCAAGAATAACCTTGCCTATTGTGGAAACCTCTGTAAATGTACCTCCATAGCAATTAGAATAGTTCCCACCCAGCTGCAAACCATGGAAATTAAATGCAAGGCTATCAATTGCACATTTTCATACCTTGAGAGAGAAAGTTTTTCAGAGTCCTTCACCTACTGTTTTGGATTCCTTGTCTTGGGAATTTAGTTGGTTGTTTACTCTAGGGGCAATCCCCAGGTAACCTTGAGAGATGAAAGTCATGGGAAGCTGAATGCTGACTTCCCATGGTGTTCCTCCCTGCATTTTAGTCCATGATGGCCCGGCACCTGGGTACATACCTGCAGACCCAGAATGTTGGCACAGGATGCTTGCCATCCCTCAGACCCCACTAGGAACTGTTAAAGTGACATGGAAGAACTCTGGAGGTAGTCAGTTAGGCTTCTTCCTAGCCTCCAGTACACTTTTTGATTTTGTCAAGAGACAAGTCTGTGAATAATAATTTATTCAGATCTCAGGAAATCATTTTAAATATGTTAAAAAGAAAAATGAGATTGGTGAGTTTTGTATCATAAACCTTAAACTGGGGTGCCTTCTTTCCTCCATTCCCTCCCCCCAAAAAATTAAATTTTAAAACAAATAAGGTTTGAATGAAAATTTAAGAAAATATCTTAAATCATCAGCCAAGAATCTCTAATGCTCACCTGTGAGCAATTTTATTTTTGAACTGCCATGTGACAAGAGAGAAGATCACACATCAAATGCTGATGGATTTGGTGTCACAGAAATAAAGGAGGGCAGACAAGGAAGAGAAGGCAGAACTGAACAAGGAGAGGTGGTACCCTGTACTTGTATTTTTTTTTTCCTTTCAGGGATCAACTTAGAATAGTCTTTGTGTTCAGTTTTGTTTTTAAATTTCACACCAAATTCTTTTATTTCTTCTGGATCCGTAAACCTAAATTTAGCCTTGGAAAAAACCTAACCTAATTCATTTTTCTATCCTCATTTTCTTTTCTAGTCCAGGTCAATGGGTAAGAAAATCATGAAGACTAAAGTACATGTTATCAGTCATCTGAGCCATTAATGTTTATAAGCACCCTTTATTTCAAACATAATGCAAAGTTACTCACATAAACCCCAAGCAGCCTTAACTGATCCTCAGCCCAGTGGTGAGGTGGCCTGGCCATGTTCTAGATGACATTTTACAGTGTATTTCCTTCTCAATCAGAGAGAAATGGGATTGGTTTTGATTCACAGAATAAGTAAGACAGGTTTGGACTAGTCAATAGATTCAAAACAAACAAATCCTTTGTGTTTCACAATGACAGCTCTATAGCAGACCAGGTGACAATGTTGTTGGAAGGCAGAGCAGATGCCCTTGATGCTGTAGAGCAGGAGAGATTTGAAAACACACCCAGGACAATTAAATCAGAGGCTCATAGAACAGTAGCATCTTTTTAAAGCTTCACTAATTTACTTCTGTGGTCACAGGTAAGAACCAGTGCTTCCAATAGAGAACAGTGACTGGGCAGCTAGGATTGAACTCTGGCCACCCAAGTAATCAACTGAGCTAAGTTTCCAAGCAAAGCCTTGGGCAGGGAGACTTAGAAGACAGATCTGCTTAGTGATTGCCTGCAGCTGTTCAATGTCGTTGCACCCCGGAAATGCTCTGAGGAGAGAGTGATAGTCACACTCATTCAGAAGAAACCATTGCAAAAGTTGTGCTCTTTTCCATGAACTGAAAAGGAATAAAGGGGCTGCATTTTCAAGCATCTTCAGATAATCTTAATGTTATTCAATACTTAGCATGTGATGAATATAACATTAAATAAAGATGATTTGTACACATGCATACAGACTCATTCACTCATTCACCTATTTGTGGAGCTTCTGCTTTGTGCCAGGTGTTCCAGAAGGACACTAAGGAAGTAGAAGGAAGCCAAGGGTGCCCTATTTCCCTCCAGGGAACTTGAACTCAGTAATCACAGGGTGTTGCCTAAAAAGAAAGGATAAGCAAAGCAGCACTTTGGAAGCACAGAACAGGGCGCTTAGCATAGAATGACTTTGGTACAAAAGGATGTCTCCTGTTGGAAAAAGAGAAGAAAGATTTCTTCTTTTTCCTGCAGGTACATACTGTCCATGATAAAAGACCATCTGACTCATCCACTACAGCCACAGCCATCAGAGCTGTTTCTGATAAAGGTGGCACAGGCCTGTGTACCTAATGAAGGCCACCCCCTTGCTTCAGGGGTCACATTGGGAAGATTGTGTCTGCACAAAGATGGACTCAATGCCTTTTTATCCTCGTGAATAAGTAACAAGCTATTAAGTATACAGTGAACGTAGCTCTGTGCAAGCTAAAACTGTGATGATTGATGGAATCTGATGTTTACTTGTCCCCTCTGTAACCTTAGATTAAAGTCACTGAAATCTTCAGCCTAGACTTCAGGAGAATGGCACGCACATACCAAGGGAATGGGCTGAGATGGATGATGTGGCTTCACAGGAGGTGGCGTGCATGGTCCCATACCCAAAGGGATTAGATACAGAGACATCAGGAAACTGAGCAAGCCATTGAGGGAGGATAGGAGTGTACTCAGAAGTAGCAGAAGGGAATACTCAGAGGGCATGTTCTGGAGGATGGAGAAGAAAGCCTGGGCAGGGCGGGGTAGGGAAGAGAAATTGAACAAGAACCAATTGGTAATTATTCCAAAGAATGCAAGGGTGATTGAAAGGACCTTGGGGTGTGCCATTATTGTTCAGTGTCCAGACCTCAGCACAGGAATGATCATTTATAAATACCTTAAATGCACCTTGCTGTCCTTTTGTTGCTTTGCCATTTATAAAATTCTTACGTGTGTGTTAATTCTATAGTTGTTTCACATAGCCTTGAGAAGATACTGAGGCTCATAGTGGCTCAGTGACTTTTCCCAAATCACATGGCCAGGTAAAAGGCAGAAGCAATCTCAAATTCAAATATTTGAGTTCCAGATCCAGTAATCTGTAATGTCAAGATCTTGCAGTACAAGGGGGTCCTGGCTCTGAATGTGTCTGATTATTTATAAAATTCTTCATATATCATATGACTCTCCAAGCCTTTGAAGTTGCATTTCCTCACATTTCTGCTTGTCATTTCAAGATTTATACTGTTACATACCCTCAAGTATGCATGGGCATCAAATAGAATTTGGGAATTTTTTAAAAAATATGGATTAAAGAAATTTTTAACTCCAACATTCTGCACCAGATGATATCAGTAGTCCAGAAATTTTGTAATACACAAACTCCCCCCTCAACACCACCTCTATTTTTCCTCAAGCCATAGGGAATAGTTTTTAAATGCTCCGCCAAGATCTAAGAAATTTGAAGCCTGGCCATGTTCTGCCAGGAATCTTTGTGTTCAGTGAGAAGTACAACTGCTTAAAACTCTTAACTTCTCTCTCACTTTAGAAAGTCAGGCAGAAAACAATGGATTAATTTGACAGATGACACCAAATAAGAAAAATATTAGAAACAAGAAAAGGCCATTTTCCTATAGAAGCTCATTTCTTTCTCTATACCACTTCCCTGGGATATCTGCCAATTGTTCACAGAAAGAGTAATGTTATCAATTTTTTAAAATTTCTCTCTGGAGTATTATGGAGATAAATAGCTGAATGATGGAGAAATAACTTACTTTCACAGTAGTAGTTTAGGAGGGGTGAAAAGAGCTCAAATGCAGATAACATTTGATGACATGAGCAATTTCAACCATGAATGAAGAAGTTGATATTTCTATGGGTGCAGTTTGAGAAAGATCACCTTTTTGCAGCAACACTAGAGAGTTCTGTCCACGTATGAAAATGAGAGATCTGTTTGGGTATTAATAGATTTATTTGCAAGTCCAGAAATTCTACAGTTGAAAACCTAACTAAGAAAAATAAAATTCTCTTCCATTTTGCTTCAGGGCCAATGCAGGAGACCATCTATGACTTCTGGAGGATGGTGTGGCATGAAAACACAGCGAGCATAATCATGGTGACCAACCTTGTTGAAGTGGGAAGGGTAAGCTGGTGTCCACTACACATGGCCCTTTTGTTCCTTGCTTAGTTGGTAATAGAAAGTAAGGCATGAGCCAAGCTCTTGAAGTATTATGTATACTCTGAAAAATATTAAGTGCTCCACCTCCTCCTATTGCTTGCTGCACTTGCTTATAAATTATCAGTAAACATAGCCCGAATTGCTTTCATTTGTTGCGATAGCAACAGACAGGAAAAGCACTCAAGATTTAAAAGCCATTGTTATCTGGCTATATTGAGCACACAAAAATACCTCTAAGCATGAATGCTGGTTGTTGGGTGTCAGAACTCCATGGGTGTTGCATTAGACATGACTGCATTCCCTAACTCAGGAAAATTGACTCTAAAAACAGCATAGAGTCCAGATTTACTCTTCAGATTAGAACTCCAGCATCTTCTCTTCATAGATTTGCCTTTTCTGAGACTCAGTTTCCTATCCTGTAAAATGGAGATTGCAATTCACCCCAAAGGTCTTTTATTAGTTTCTCTGTAGAAACACTTTTTGGGTGCTATTTTTTGTTTAGCCAGGAAACTCATAAGTGGCTGTAATTTCAGCAGTGCTATGCCACAAGATTATTGCAAAGTGAAATTTTAAAATGAGAAAATACATAGGATGTCATTGCCTGATTTATAATAATTGTAATTCTGTAGTTAGGCTCAAGAGAAGAACCAAGTCACTTCTTAGAGAAGATGGTATAACATGATTTGCACTTTACAAATGCAGCCTACAAATTAGCCTAGAATTGAATTTTTTTTCAAGGCTGGGGATGGAACCCAGGGCCTCTCACATGCTAGGCAAAGCAGTTTACCACTAAGTTGAAATATTGGGTTAAAAAACAGAGAGGTATTGTCTTTTAAGATTCTCAGAAGAAATCAGGAGGCAGAAACCAGGAAGAAGAGAAGCATTGCAATTCTCTTATAACAAGATAATCAGTAAGTAGGAAATCCTTATTTCTAGCAACAGTGACAGACTAAATAGCCTGAAATCTACTAGAAACATCTAGAAGTTCTAGATAAAAATATAAACATGTATTTTCATACATTTGTCTAATTGTGTATGTGTGTGTGTGTGTATGTGTAGATATATGAAAAATGTGTGGCTTAACATTCAAGAGAATAAAGAAAACTACCAGGTCCCAGAAGTACAGTGAAGACTAGTGATCAGAGGGAGAATGGACATTGCAGCTTCCCTTGGGAGGCTGGTAGGGATGCTTTGTGTTCACCCTGGTGAGAGGTGGGTAGCCACAGTGTGCCTGATTTTGGATCTTGAGTTTTAAAGCCCACCAACGGTAGAAAATATCATCTTGGACCTGTGTAATGCTAATTTAACACTAAAACCCACAAAAGGAGGAAACTCAGATAAAGGGCAGACTAGGCCAATAGGAAGGTAGGATGGGGAAGGAAGAGAACACCAGCCATCTCAGAAAATGACAGGGAAGTGAATCCTGAGTTTTCATTTAGGATCCTGACGAAAATTACTTTACTTTGAACCAACCTAACTCTTGGTTCAAAGTAAAACAACTAATACAAATCAGAAAATACTTAGGGTTGTACACCATAAAGTATCATGTACAGTTCGCCCTCATGTACAGTTATACACTCATGGATTCAACCCACTGTGGATTGAAATTATTTGGGGGGCTGGGGTCATAGCTCAGTGGTAGAGTGCCTACCTCGCATGTGTGAGGCCCTGGGTTCGATCCTCAGCACCACATAAAAATAAATAAATAAAGATATTGTGTCCATCTACAACTAAACAAAAAATTTTTTAAAGAAAATATTTAGAAAAAATTGCATCTATACTCAACATGTACATATTTTTTCTTGTCTTTATTCCCTAAATAGTATAACGTCTATTCATACAACATTTACATTGTATGAGTTATTATAAGTCATCTAGAGATGAATTGAAGTATATGGAAGGAAGGTTGGGCCTTAATTATATGCAAATACTGTGATTTTTTTATATAAGGGACTTAATTTTTATATCTACAGGGGGTCTTGAAACAGATTATCCCACAGATACTGAGACATGTGTGTATTAATCTTGTAGGATGCAATTTAAAACAGTACCTAAAAATCCTTAAATGCTACTATTAGAAAAGAAGAAATGTCAAACATTTAATTCAAGAAGATAGAAGAACAGAGTAAAACAAAAAAGAGAAAAAAGAAGATAATTAATATAAAAGCATAAACTTATGAAATAAAAAGCAAAGAAGCAATAATAATAAGTATCAATAAAATACAAACCTCTGCTAATAGATCAGAAATAAAAGGAAGATGCCCATATATAGAGAATTCAAGAAGTAGACTAGTGCTTTGTATCAGAATAATATCAATAACAAATTTAATAAATTAAGTACTTTTCTTAAAAAATATGATTTTCCGGGGCTGGGATTGTGGCTCAGTGGTGGAGCACTCTCCTCGCACGTGCGAGGACCTGGGTTCAATCCTCAGCAGCACATAAAAATAAATAAATAAAATAAGGGTACTGTGTCCAACTTCAACTAAAAAAAATAATATTAGTTTAAAAAATGATTTTCCAAGTTGTAACTAAACACTAATTACTTAAAAATTGAAGTACAATTTAAAACTGACTTAGAGAAATGTACCATACCCAAATATATTTATAGGTCCTACATATTCAATAAATAGATCATTCAAATTTTATAAATGATATGAATATGTGAAATTTCATAAATTTTATAAATGTATAAAATATATGTACATGTTATAAATGTTATAAAAATTATTCTAAGGGAATTGAAGATGAAAAATTGCTCCACTGCTTTATTTTATGAGACTAGGACAAACTTGAAATCAATACCAGACAAGGACTACAGGATAAGGGAAAATTATAGGTGTCACAAATTGATAGGAAGAGCTAAATGGACCAATATGTCAAAACAGAGAACCTAGATGTCAACTGCAGGCTTAAGTAGAAAGATATATAATTAGTAGGGAAAGCTAAACTTTTCAATCAAGTGAGCTGAGACTTTTGGTTACCCATGTGAACCAAAAATAAGTCCCTCCTTCATAAAATGCCACTGAATGTATAGCAAATAAAGACCAAAATATAGGAAATAAAGCTTTAAAACTTTTAAGGAAAAATGCAGAAGAAATAGTTTAAGGCATTTGGTTTCTTCTTTCTTTCTTTTTTAAGTACATTTCATAGAAATCAAAAGAACAGTACATTAAGAAAAGGATTGGAAATTTGACTCTATTAACAGGTAATATTTTCTGTACAATTAAGGCTATATTAAGTACTATGACAAGAGGGGAGATACCATTATGTAAATCATAAAAACATACAAAGCAACATTTAAAGTTCCAGAAGTATAAAACTGTTCCTTTTCTTTCGATTTTGTTTCTACTAGGAGCCTGGTTGGGAGCTGGCTCACAGCCTGGTGCAGCAGGTGCTTGCTGTGTTACCAGCCTAGAAGAGGTCTCTCCTACCACTTCTAGGAAGTGGGGTATGATGGTACCTGAGAATCTGCCAGCTCAGGTTGCCATAACAAAGTACCATAGGCTGGAAGGCTTAACCCACAGGAGTTTATTTTCTTGCAGTTATGGAAGCTGGAAATCCGGATATATTTTGGCAGGAATGGGTGTCTGGGGAAGGCTACCTCCCTGGCTCTCAGTAGCTGCCTTCTTTCTGTGATTTTACATGTGGCCTGAGGGAAAGAGGAGCTCTCTGGGGTCTTTTCTTATAATGACATTGGTTCTATTAGATCAGGGTACTACCTTTATGACCTTATTTAATTTAAATTACTACCATATAGGCCTTTTTTCCAGATATAGCCCCACTGGGGGTTAAGGCTTCAACATTTGAATTTGGAGGGTGCACACATCTTCAGTCCATAAAACCTTCTCCATGAGGTTCTTGTAAAGATTAAATTAGCTTCTATGTGTCAAGCAGTTGAAGAACGTCCTACATATTATCAGGACTTAGTAAATGTAGACATTAGCTTAACCTTTACATTTCCATCAACAAACCTAATACTTGCAGTGATGTATATAATTACTCCTCACCCCAGCACAAAATCTAACTTTTTTTGCTATGACAGTAACAAATTACAATTGGAGGCAAAACATGTCAATGCCATCAAAATGCTAGCTCCTTTGAGGGAAGAGACAGCCTTACTCAAAGATTTCTCCTTACTCACAGTGATCCTGGCTCTCAGTGAATGTCCACAAAGTGAATCCATGATAACATTTTCAACATAAATGTCACAGAGCAATTATCATGGGCTAGGTTAATTAATATAGCCATGCAAAATATTTTCCTCATCTTCACATACTACGTTTCTTCTGCCAAAATGTGCACTCAATTCTGAATCCTTCATTCATTTCATAAATATTTGTTGACTGTTCATATCTGATGGGGAGAAGGAGGTAGCTGGAGATGACTTTCCCAGTGTTTCTTGTACTTCACAGTAACTGAATTCCCCAAAAGTAATTTTAGGTCTGGTAAGCTTATGAAAACAGAAAAAGAAAAAATCTTCCAGATTCTTACCAGGTTGGTGAGGATGTAGGTAAGCTCTGAAGAGGCGTCACCTCAAAGCCTTCAGCTCCTTGGATGGATTTGTCTTCAATTAGTAATGACATTAATGGTGTCTCTCCTTGAAATGTCTGGCATGATTTGGGGGTTTTGACAAGAGGTCATACTACTTTCAGGAAAAGAGACTCACCTTATTCCATGCTGTTTCCCATTGTTAATCCTGCACATTTGTTTAGGAACATTGTCTCTATTTTCCATGCATAAAAACAACAACAAATCATCCAAGAAATCAAAATGACATGGTTTTTAAGGGCAACAGCTACCTACTTAACATGTGTTCTGCACATGGTGCGTCCTTCATGAATTAAGCATGAGCCAGGCAGATGTGTGTTTGTTTACACAGACTTGCTGCTGATTCATTAAGTCAGAGCTGGGGACCTGCTTCTTCCCATTCTTGCCCTGAAGCACTCTGCATTAGGTGGCTT